CAGATTGAATTTTAAAACTTAGTTAATTTGATATTAGTTCTGAAATTTGAAATAAAATTGTTTGAAGGGCTTTGATATCATTATTTAATTAGTGATAAGCAAGGAAGACTAACAATGGGTGGTTGACGGGGTGGTTGACGGTGACAATGGTAGTCTGTGGCAGTAATGGTAGGTGGTTGAGAAATATATCAAATACCCATATGGATATCTCAACATTCAAGAGGTATTAAAATCTATATTTGGAGAATTTGTGATAGTGAAATTTGCACTAAATAGGACTAAAATATAAGTAATTTTCCAATGTAGGACTTAAATTTTTTTATTCCTTAAATAAGACTTAATAATGACTAGTGAGAAAAATAATGTCCAAGTGATGCTGGACATTTAGTTGAATAATGACTAATAGATAATGACCAATGGTCCTATATTGAGAAATAAAAACATATCGTCCTATATTGAAAAAGTCATTATGTTTTAGTCCTATTTAGGTAAATTACTCTTTGTGATATCTAGAGATATCATATTTGAAAATTTTGGTTAGGCTTCGACGAACATAAAAAAGAATTAAAAATAAGAATTCATATCTCATTTGCTCACTAGAAACGTTCTTAAAAGGAAGACAAATTCCATAATTTGACTTCATTTTTCATTTGACTACACCTTATTTTCCTTTGAATTCTCTTTTCTTTTCAGACCAAACGGAGGAAAATTAGAAATATCACTTTGAAATTCATTTTTTCTTCTTCCAAATGGAGCTTAACAAATGACTTGGTGAAATTCTTAAAGGATAATTTATGTAAATAAGACTAAAATATAATGACTTTTTTAATATAGGATCATATATTTTTATTTCTTAATGCAGGATCATTAGTCATAATCTATTAGTCATTATTTAACTAAATGTCCAGCATCACTTGGAAATTATTCTTCTCACTAGTCATTATTAAGTTCTATTTAGGGAATAAAAATTTTTAAGTACTACATTGAAAAATGACTTATGTTCTAGTTCTATTCAGTGCAAATTTCACACCACTTAAAATCCCCATTATAGAACTAATAGATGAATCACTCGTCAAAAATTTTATGGTCTAGCGCTATCAACATGGCTCATCCGACTGAGATATCACGAGTTCAAACTCTAGTGGAAAAAGTAACTCTCTATGTCCAAAAAATACTTGAACCCTAAAAAAACATTTCATGATTGATACTTAGAGTCATGTTTAGGTAACAATCAGATTATTTGGGTTGGTTATTTTATTAATTGGTTTAATCTTATTTACTCGTATCAATTTAATAAAATAAAAATATCATACCATAGGTATTAATTTTTTGTTTGTTTTATACGATATTTTTTGTTTCTTAACTTTTTTTATCTTTTTTTAAACTTTCTTAAAAGTAATTAAGCAAAGAAGTGAATAAAGTAATAAGATCAAATTAAATAAAAAAGATGTAAAAAATAAGACAAAAAAGCCAAACTAAGGAGTGAAACATTAAGAGTGTATTTGGTGGGCAAACAAGATATAGATTTTGATATATCTTGATATCAAAATTCTTTTCTTGATGTTTGGTGTAGTAAAAAAAGATATCGAATTCGATATTATCAGGTATCATAAATCTCCAAATAGAGTGTTTTGATATCTTAGAAATTTGAGAGATATCAATATGGGGGTTTGATATTCTCTCCACACCGTTGATCATTCTCCGCGACCGGCTGCTATTGTCACCGTTGACCACTCTCGCTATCGGTCACCACCACTTATTACTGATTAAATCATAATTTTGAATCCCTCCAAAGAAATTCGTTTCAGATTTCATATCTCATTTCATTTCACCCATATTTCATAACTCATATTTTATCACATCTTCAAAACCCACCAAAGGAATCTTAAGGAGAACAATTGTACGCACAAAAAAAGAATGAATCCAAATTTTAATTATTTTTTTTAATTCATATTTATGAAAAATAAAATATATAAAAATAACAAACAAAAAAAGATTAGACATTTGTTAACAAAAATTTCGTATACCGAACGTACCCTTAGTGATTCAATGATGCTTTGTTGATTCTTTGGAAACTGGAAGTCATGAGACAAAATTAGTTTATTCCTTTACTACTCGAGTATAAATAATAACGGACATTTAAATAACCATTTTGTTTTATTAAATAATATCTCAGAGCCAGAATGCCAAAAAAAAAGGTGAATCTAAAGGATAAAACAATAGATTATGACTAATGATCCTGCATTAAGAAATAGAGTAAAACAAACTAGTAGGTACTAGTTTTAAAAATCACCTAAATAAGACTAAAACATAGAAAAAAATATTAAAATAAGAGTTTCATGTTTTTATTCGCGTAATAAGACTTCGTACTGTGATAATGTGGCTGTAATGTAGCGTTGCACATGTGCACATTACTATACTTTTTGGTAACGTACATGACCATGTTAATTAATGTAAATGTATTTTAACTCCTATTTCAAGAATAAAAACATGAAAGTCTTATTTTGGTATATTTTCAATGTTTTACTCCTACTTTAGTCTTTTTCCTTACTAGTTTTTCTTTTTCTTTTTCTTTTTAAATCACAAAGACCATGAAGCATTATTGGAACCATTCCATGTGAAACTCGCCTATTATTACACACCAAGAATTCCAGTTAAATTTATGAGATTATTGGTGTAATTTCAGCTGTTACGAGGAGACCACCAAAATACAGAATTTACATTTTTAACACAATAGAAGCAGAACCTGATTCAAATAAATTTTGGATATAGAGAAGAGGACTACCCCAAAGAATAAGGACTTTGCACAATAATTATGAAAAGGCAAACTGCCTGAAAGCAATAAAGTAAAGACCATAACCATGTATCTTTTGATAGGATTATAAAACAAACTGCTCATAATATGTACAATAAACTACCATTCACCAACTATGAAGGAACATGTAACATTTCATCCTCTAATGACAACAATTGACCTTAGCATTTTCAAAGTTAATCTGCACTAGTAATATTGTCTAAAATGGTAACATTACACCTTTGATGACAACTTCATTTAATACTTTGACATTTTAAAAAAGACTATCTAATGACAGCATTTGACCTTAGCATTTTCAAAGTTAATTAATATTATCTAAAATGGTAACTGAAAATGGGGTTTTCAAAACAAGGCAAAAAAATATGGAGTAATGGATCGGAGTATTAGTGAACATACACAAAGATTTGCAGTTAGGCCTGATCATTTAAACTTTCTGTTTTGTCATCCAGTCTTCAGTTCCAGCATCAAGTTTCAATTTCCAAGTAAAATTTGTTATAGTTTTATAATCGGTACTAAATTTTAATCTAGGTTCTAGTTCGCATATTCAGTTGTCAATTTCCAGTTGGAAAATTTATTGTAGTTTTATAATCCGTATTATACTGAATATCCATTATAGGTTGATAATATACATATAGAATGACATCAAAATTCTAAAACATAGAAGAGAAAGGTAAATGAAGAATTAGTGATATCCTGAGTATAACAATATGAGAGCAGAGATATATTTCAGGCCCATGATCAACTTAATTTGACCTTTGGTTGGCTTAGACCACCGAAGTACAATATGAAAGAAAAGTTCAAAACAAAGACTGCTGCCTACACTATAAGGGTAGCCAAAACATCATCAAGCAAAGTACAGTAGCAGAAACCTGGGAAATTGAAGTCTGAAAAAAGAAGATAATAAAAGCAGCACCATTGGAAATTCCCCATACTAGTCAATGCCATTGAAGACCTGCCATTTATCAAGAAAGTCCAATGAGCACAAAAAAATGCTATTGATCTGCTTTTGCTGGGATTGGTTACCATTCTACCAATAAAAACAACTTGAATAAAAGGGAAAAGGGTGGACAAAAACAAGTTAGCCCCCAAAGTTACGCAAGTACAAATACACCATTGATGTTTGTGTGTGAAATGCTCAAATAACCCATGACATTTGTAAATGAGCCATCATAGTGCCTCGAATCCAAACACCAGAGTTCATTTCAAGCATTCGACCCGTGTATGTACTTGAAAATCTTAGGGGCTTCTTTGTTACTGGGTGCAAACGTCAATCACAGTGCATTTTGTATTTGAAGCATGTTGCTTTAACAAGAATTTGAGGATAATTGACACTCACAAAATTGTCAAAAATAAATGAAGCATTTCATTTGTTTTTCCAGCTCAGAAATTATACCACGCTTTCATCTATCTACAGACCAAATGTATCAGCTTATTCTGCTGATATGTAACACTAATTTGACTGAAATTGATATTACAAAACACTCTAACTCTCTTAAAATCTACTCTGCAGTTGCTTCACCTATTCCAACCAAAAACCTGTACCGACCGGACCCTTCTATATGGACATTAATGGGCCTGAGGAACAGGTGCTGCAATAACCCTTATCCAGAATCCATACAGATTCCTCAGTTATGAGGTGGTCATCGACTCATTGTTGTAAAAATCTTCTTACAAAGATCATGATCCCCTAACATAGGCACTCAGCCAAAATTTAACACCTCACCGTCAGCCAATTTACTCATTGTTTTATACATCTTCATTCACAATGGCTTCAGGTTTTATAAAGTCATTATAAGTTCATGGTAGGGCGCTAAACTGTAAAAAAACAAAAACCTAGATCTTTGGAGAGGAATTACCAGGATCAAACAGATCCGACGATGATGTTGTTGATGGGAATGAAGATCAGCTTGACGAAGAACCCTACGAATCCCATCACAACGAATCCGATCGCAGTACGAGCAGCCACTTTCGAGAATTCTACGCGGAATAAACATTCACCACACCATCAACACAACTTATAAAACACTGAATCAATAATCGAAGCCGACGGGACGGGTTAAGGGATCTGGGGGAAAATAATGCATCGAAACCGTGTAATTAGTTACCTTTGCGGTCGGGCTTATGGCATCTCTTGACTAAACGAACGCTGTCCTTGGCGAAGTCTCTCAGCGGATCGAACACCGAATCCAAAGCATCCATGGTTTCCGATCACGGTTCGCTTACACTTCTCGAATTCTAGTTTTCTCTCCCACAACAGCTTCCACAATTTCTTTGAAAATGGGCTTAAAGTCTTGTTGCTTTAAATTGAGGCTTCTAAATTTTTATTTTTAACATTTTAAATACACATTTTGTAAAATTAAATTAAAATTATTTCATTAATTACCTGAATTTAAACAATAATAATTCATTAAATAAAAAAATACATTCAATTAAAAAATTACATTAATGAAAAAAGATTTGAACAATAACAACACAAATAAAAAATTAAAAATAACATTACATTACGAAGAAATTACTGATTATTTGAGCGACTAAAAATATATTCAATCAAATCTATCGTTAGTGTATTGTGAATCTCTCGCCTTCGAATTTCTTGGCAGTTTCTTTGTTTCTTTTTTCATCGATTTCTTCGTACTTAGACACTTTTTTGACTGGATTGCAAGAAATTGAAAATTTGTTGTCCTCTATGATCATATTATAAATAATGTATGTGTATATGATTTTCCTCATTTTTGTTTGAAAATAATATTTGGACAAACGATTTAGAATGTGTCATTTACCCTTCAACACCCTGAAGGCTCATTCCATATATTTCCTCGCTGCCTCTTGAACTTTTTTTGTAGGTCACACATTTTAGACTTGTTGGTTCAGTGAGGGACTTGGCGGTTATAGAATAATCTAGATATATTCCATCGGCAAGATAATATCCACGCTTGTAAAGTGTTCCTCTAAGTTTAAAAGACGAGTTGGGTGCAATCTCATTAACTCAATCGTTAAATACGAGGGGTTGATCGAGAAAATTGATATCGTTGTTCGAGCCCGCAACACCAAAAAAAGCATGTCAAAACCAAAAGTGATTTGAAGCCACAACTTCGAGCAAAATAGTAGGTTTGGGATGACCGCCTTGGAAGAACTAACCATGTCACACAGTGGGACAACTTTCATTTCCTAATTCGTGCAATTGATGCTCCCACGCATGCCGACAAAGCTCTATTTAGCGACATGCCCCCTGTAATTGCTCAATAGAGCTCGTTGTCGGCTTACGTAATACCTCTTATGATAAAGTCGAATAATAGCTTTAGAAAAATTATAAACACATGACCTATTGCTCCGAGCGATATCTTCAATTATTCGTCGAACATATCACAAGGCGTTCCATACGCCATTGGACGAAGCGTGGCGGTGCACTTCTAGACGCTATTAAAACCGCGATGGCATCTCGCATTAAAGGGTAATTAGGTGAACCAAGGCACCTTGATTCAATATCGGTGAGCTTGCGTAAAAACAAAGAATCGTTCATTCGAAAACGAATACTAAAAATCCTCAGGTGCTTAAACACATGAAGTATGGAAGTAGCCTTTGAGCAATAAATTGTGTGCAGTCGTCCGATCATGGTTTAAATACTCACGCCGGGTCCAGCGTTGGGACGATTCTGCTTCCTCTTATTGGCCTTGTTGTCACCATTGGTATTCGCCTGTAGCGAAACAAAAAAATGAGAGCTCTTCTCTCATCGTCAGATGAAGATTGTCCTGTTTTTTAGTGTTTTGTATAGAGGATTAAAAGAAATATAATATATTTTGGAGGAATAAAGAGAGAATGAGAGTCTATTGTGTCAATTTTTTGTGATTTAAATAAGCAGTATTTATACTATTATATTTTTTTCAATTTTGGCCAACGGCCACAATTTTTTTCAATGTTGCGCTACTCAGTCAAACGTGTTTGTATACTCCTAAATGAGTTTGTATACTCCTGAATAATTTGTTGGGGGGGGGGGACGGTCGCATAATTTGTTAGTGTTTTCACTGCTGATGAGTTTGTATACTCCTGAATGAAAAGAAACATTAATGTTATGAGAATGAAAAAGAAAATTTTGTCTAAAAATAACATTTTGTTGTTCGAATCTGGTGCATTTACGACGTACTGCAGTTTCTGTCATAAACTGTCGCAAGTTACCAAAATTAAAATGCTCTTATTTCTGTCGTAAAAATTGTCGCAAATTTACGAAGGAAACTAACTTCTGTTGCAAACTTCGCCTTCACTATTTTGTTGCAACTTTGCGACAGAAATGTATTCCTTTCGCAAATATAGGAAATGTGACATGTTTTTTGCGACAGAAAATTTCTATCGTGCGTCCGTCGCAATATTGGGTGCTATGATCAAATTTCTCCTTTTGCAATAGATTTTTTTGTAGCAAATAATGTGAAATCTTATAGTGTAGAATACGTATTTTGAACAATGTGCTCTCCATCCATACCTTAAAAAGCATATTCTAAAGTACAGTCAGAAAAAATATTTTTTTATCATGTCACGAAAAGGCATTTAAAAAACTACTAGGATAATGCAAGTAAAAAAACAAACACTCCTTCGGTCACATCAATATTTTCCCACTTTTTCATTAATTCAAGAATAATTTCCCAATTGTTTCTCTCTTTTTATTTAGGAAAGAATATTAGTCCAACATACTTATCCCTTTTAAATATAGTGTTTATGATTGTTTAGATCTTTCTAAGAGAGATGAGTGTATTCAACCCAAGACCGGTCAAAAGAGAGGACTAAATAAGTTGACCGGTCAAGTGGACCGAACTAGAAAGGGAAGCCGGAATCGTCAGTAAGAGGAGGCTCGGTTGACCAAAATTTTGACCGGTACACTTCGGATAGTATACTGGTCAAACGATTTCAACAGCTAATTCATCCCTCAATCTCAGCTAAACTTATCCCTCAGAAATTACCCGGTGTAGTTTATAGGGTTGGAAAGTGTCGGCAGAGAAGAATCTAAAGGAGTTTGGACCGTAGCGACCGAGATCTGTGGAGGATCGCTGGAGATACTCAAACAAAGGAGTCCATCCAAGGTGTTACACGACAAAGGGAGTAAGCTTCCTTACTAGGTGACAGAGCAGTTAAAGGACGAAGGCCATCACCTCCCACCGTCCGAGAACGTGCCTCCACGTGGGTGCACGATGTCCTGTCCCCCTCAAACTTAGTATAAACACTGCTGTAATCCTCAGAAGGAGGGATCCGAATTCATTCTCTCTAAACTCCCTTGTAAAAGTGCCCGTGCATTCTCCTATATTAATATCAATTGGGCTACAGGTGTTTCCACCTACAGTCATACTGGTCATTTGAGTGTTTTTACCTTTTTACTTTATTGAGTCAAGTGAACTGTTCTAGACCCGGTCTAGTACAGTTTACCCGGTTAGGTAGCTTACACCATCAAAGACAATCTCACAAGTAAACCTAATATTAATATCTTAGCACACAAGGGAAATACGACAATTAATTATTCACAACCCAATTCATACTGATAAAACATAATCATAATCACAATCAATACTAAGATCATTAAATTAAGATCATTTTTAATGCTAAAAAATGAGATGTAATAGAATATAGAGATTATATTATTTTACGGTACAAAACATCGCTGCTTTACATATTTCGAAAGACTTCTTTGTATACTATATTATTCGTACAATTTGTGGGAACATTGTCTTCGTTGCATATCAAAATCTTCAATTCACTACGATTAGTTACTCTTGAAACTGCAACATACAGTTGTTCATGACTCAGAATAACAATAATCCAACATGTTTTAGAGATTGTCCTTGACTCTTGATAAAATCTCAATCACAATGTGGCTTCCTGATAAAATCTCTCCTTGTATTGAGTGATTAGCCAACCAGGTTACTGTCAACCGTGTACCATTACATAAACCCCTTGAATGGTCAATATTTCGCAACAACATAATATACGTGCTTACCTTCAAAGTTAACTCATGATACACCAGAAACACGAATCTTATTTAAGAATTCTGGAGAGTGTAAGTCACCGGAAAAACTTGAACTGCAGTCCGAGTTCTCAACCTTGTCAAAACTTAGGTATGTTCGAGAGTCGCTGTTTGGATTCATCGCTGTCATATATTCAATTATGGAATCGACGACATCCAATGTAGGAGCCAAAATTGTGCGCTCTTGCAAGCAACTAAGTTCACTGGTTATTTTTTGAAAGTCTGGATAAGTCGAATTGACTATAGTAGCTATTGGATCTTTAGAAGATGGAAGTAACATGTCATCAAGAATTGTTACCTCTGCATAACTGTCTTGTTCGTCACCTGCGATCCCGTTGCCAATACTCGAAATTACCAACCCAACATCACAATTACCAACTAAACATCACAATTACTATATGTAATGACATAACATCTGTTGAAACGAAAATTTTAATTTTTTATTTTTGAAAACAAAATTTTTTTCTTTCCAAACAATTTCTATTCTATTTTTTATTTTTGGACATTTACGGTATGAATACCCTTTTATTGACGTGAAATAAAAAATTGGGTTGAACATTTACGCAATAAAATGTTATTGGAACAGAAATTAATAACTTTTTATTACTTACCATGTAAACATCACAATTACCATATGCAATGGCATAACATCTCTTGAAATGGAAATTTATAATTTTTAAACGAAAATTTAATTTTTTTATTTTTGAAACAAAAATTTTTTCGTTCCAAACATATTTCCATTCTATTTTTATTTTTGAACATTTACAGTATTAATACCCTTTTATTGGCGTCAAATAAAAAATTGGGTTGAACATTTACGTAATAAAATTACCACATGTAAAGGCCTAAAATTTGGGCGGAAATTAATACTCCCTCCGTCCGGAAATGTTCTTCCCATTTGACTTTTTACGGTCTCCAAGATTGCATTTTGACCACTAATATCTTTATTTATACATGGATATATCTTATAAAAATTTGATATTTGAAAACTATATTTCAAAATGAATATATTCATATTAAAGTTATATCGTAATACAATGTATTTTTTCCACTTATCATAGTCAAAGTTTACAAACTTTGACCAAGAAAAGTCAAATAGGAATAATATTTCCGGACGGAGGGAGTAACTTTTTATTACTTACCATGTAAACATCACAATTACCATATGTAAAAGCCTAAAATTTGAGCGAAAAAACTATTACCCCACTTTCTCTCTTTTTAAATAAAGTATGGATAAGGTGGACTTATAACCCTAAATTTTGTGCCTAAGTGTGTGTGTGTGG